TTCGATTAATATTCGATTCAAACTTATTGACAGCTTGAGGTTTCCTGTGGAACTTTTCTTATTATCACGCCTTCCATTGTAATGAACGAATAATCGGGAAATTTCCCAACATTCGACGTAAATCCCATATTTTCATAAATTAACTTGCTTCATCATCGCATATTAAATCTTAACATATCGCAAATTAACATAATCGTATATTAAAATTAACATAAAGTTCAGAAAGATTCATATTAACCAATTCAATTGTTTAAAAAACAATGCATCTATTTTGTTTCAAATATAATTTTCCACCAAAAATTGAACACTTTTTTTATTAAAAAGTTTTCGAATATTTCCCAATCTATATAATGTATAATAATAAAAATAAATGCCACCAGCAACTTTTATTCATGTCTATATCCTCTCCTTAGAAAAAAAATGTATAAAAAAGCTGTGATAAATTAAAATAAATTGTTGAGCATTCTTAACATAATCGATTCACTTATACAATTTAACTTTTTTTTTCTTTACACGCGAGCTGATTAGTCTTTCTGGTATGTCCAGCATTCCTGCCCAAAATATGTGATTACTCCGACTTATCGGACGATTCGAATACGTAGATTTCCGCGCGAATGTACGTAGATATATGCGTTGTTGTCGCGCACGTGTCGCGCGAGCTCATGAATGAACGAGGCGACACACAAATGCCGCGCTGCTTGGCTATTTTTAAGCGGTGCGCAGACGATTATCAGTGATTCCCGTGCGATAGCCGATGTTGCTTATCGTCTCTGCAGCACGCCCGGTTTAACGGTGTGAATGACTAAGAGAAAACAAAGCCTCCTATAAGATATGTCGCGGCGGAAGCTCCGCGCGTCGCGAACAGAAAGTCGCTGTGCGACATCGCTTATCAATATATTTAATCAATATATTTATCAATATATTTAACATCTCCTTATAGATCTCTCGGGATCTCTCGAATCTCTCAGATCTCTCAGGAGGAATGCAATTCCTTGACATTCGAGACGATACTCCTGACAACTGATGTCTGTTAGTTGAATAATGATGTATTAATTTAAAACACGAACTTAACATATTAATATTTTTCAATAGAAAATTATTAATAAAGTTTTAATATCGAGCACACTAAAAACTATAAAAAAAATATTAATAATTATTTACAATACGAATTAAAAATTGAAAAATTTAAGCATTTTTAGCTTTCTCTGTTTTAAAGTCAGCGCAATTCATAGTAAAATTAGATCCCATCAATGTTTCAAGAATCAGGCATTAATTGAAAGCTTTTGAAATATACTTGTATTCTGACATGTACGGTGACAGTTGATCTAAGCAAAAAAACTTCGCAAAAAAAACAGAATCCGCAAGCGCAACATCACAAGGCGAAGAAAATCCTAGTCAGCCGATTGAGATTTCGTCGAACGAGGATTACCTAATTCATTTATTTGTTAGTCAATCGTTGCATAATGATAAGCCTAAAAGTAGTTATGGCAGAACAGTGAAACTTGGTGAAACCACGGCCGCTTTAGCTGGCCCCGGCCGACAGGACCTTAGAAATAGCCAAACTAAACGGTCAAAATCCGGTACCACTGCGTACAATGCAACGGCGTAGAAAAAAAAAAATAAATTGACAAAATAGCCACGACCGCGTTGACCATACTTTCACTAGATTAAGCCGCGCACCGGGTCCGATTAATCTCTCTTTCTCACTCTCGTTTTCTCTCTTTCTAAGCCCTATATACCCCCTTCGCCGAGCAGCGCGGGGACCGTGACGATCTGCATCAGTGTGTATCACGCTTTTTCGCATTCATTTCTTTTTGCACGACGCGAATGACTCAGTGGTCCATGTCGACTGCCGGGAGGGGGGGGGAGGAGTAATGTGAGAAAGAGATCGAAAGGCTCGTTTCGGATAAAACGTATTATTTTACATTACGGTATAATTAATCGCCAAGCGCGGCGGTTGAATTTCGGCAATTTCAGCATGTTACAACTATCTCACAGCCAGTTTAAGCATGTAAAGTGATATTATAATTCACGACGGACTGCAAACCAGCGGCGTTTTTCATATTTTGTCTTTATCAAGAAATATAAAATATAAAAGAGAAAGTATATCAGTTTTTATATTGCCGATCTAAGCCCGATAAATCGGATCAACGTTCGCGTGAAAAAAAGAATTTTATTTAAATGCACACATATTTAAATAGCTCTAATAAAATATAATAAACTTAATTGGTTTGTTCGTCAAGGTGTCTACGTAGTTTTCATTATTATTGTTTGAACTCAGTATCTACATCAGCCGTATGTTATAGCAGGTGAAACGCGATAAGATACGCCGTACATGTTTTTCTTTGTTGACCGATGACATAGGCTTCATCGGACATTTTTACAATAGATATATGAGATTATCGGACCAGCAAATTGCATCTCACTCGCATGATGTTTTGTTGCATTAACTCCATCGACACGAATGTAAATTTCTCGAATATTTCCAGACAATTAAGATATCATTAAAATGGCACCGGCCACTTTCCCTTTTTATACCTTCATTCTTGCTTTCATGCGGAATTAACACGAATGCAACGAATGTATCCATTATGGATGCCTTATTTCTGTGAAATATGACTAGCAAACGTACTTAAAATGTCATCAGTGACAATGAAAGGATGAAATTTTCCTCTTATCGGGAATACTCTCACCTCTTTTTTTTAATACAAATCATAAACAATTTATTATTATTAATATATATATATATATATTGAAAATTTGTGCATTTAATTGAACAACACACTTCTGTTCTACAAAATCTTTTAAATCCGTATCAGACATTTTGGAGATTAAGATTGTATATTGAAGATTAGAATTCGATCAATCACGTAAGCTCAATCTTAGCCAACTTTATCCCGATAGGTCGAATTCCAGTCTCCAATTCGCAACCTTCAATCTTCAATGCATAGTCCGATACAGATTGTGATTGCATGTAATTGATAGAAATAACTTTTAGAAACTTATTTATAACTTCCGTATGTTAATTTTTATCAGGAAGACACAAATATTAATACGATTTTATATACACATATGTATATGATTCCTCTTTTTCAAGTATAGGACAAGGTAAAAAAGTGACAGATAAGTGTTTCTTTTCAAACGCGAGATTGATTCGTGATTAAACGAATGACGCGTATGGGCGCGACGGGAATCTCATATAACTTGTTTCGCATTAACGAGATTGTAAGATCAATCATGACTTTTATCCTTTGTTTAGCAGTAGCGATTCTTGATGTCGGTTTTGTGAGAAACAAGTCTAGAGTAAATCCGAATTTTTATGTAATATTATGACTTCTATTAACTAATTCCAGAATGCAAATAACAAATTTCATTCCATTTTATTTTATGAATATTTCATAAATTGCGGAATCTTTGTTGCAACAAATTATGCAATCAAATAGAAATCCACAGAAAAAAATAATAGATATGTAGAGATGTTGAAAAAAGATACCAGCTAGTTGTTAAATATTCCGTCGCAATAAAACCGCAGAAAGATCAAATGAAGAAAAAAGAAATTAATTATAAAACTATAAAATTTTAATATCTGTCTCGATCTGTAAAGTCGTTCGATAAGCATGTGTCGATTTTGAAATGTCGCTTTCGAAAAAAAAGTGTATATTAAAATTTCTAAAAATGAAAAGGTTCTTTTCGTCATTTTCGCTTAAACACCACGCGCGGATCCACGTCGTGTTTAAGCGAAGCGAGTCGAAGCCAGGAAAAGTAAGGAGCTCGCGAGCGGAGGAGAAGCGTGCACTTCTGCCTCCGCTGTTATGTAACCGAGCGATTCTCGGAGCCAACAGCAGCCGAGCGACGCGCGAGAGTGAGGTCAATTTGTGCGGAGCCCATCGCGTGTATGTACATATACGTATACATATACAATTGCGCATGTGCGTTCACTCGCATATGTGTGTTCGTCGAACGTTATAAGCACGAGAGTGAGTTGGAATGAGGCGTAGAGCGTGAAAGTGAAGCGGCCGACGTACACGTGTGTGTATGTATGTATGTAGTGTGGTAGTACATATAATGTGCGTGTAACGACAAAAAAACCTGGCACACACGTGCAGTATGTAAGTGTAAAAGTATATGTGAGCGGAGCTGCGTGAGCGAGCGCTAAGATCGGTTTACCATTCACCAAGTCGGCGGCACGGTTATCGAAAAAGAATGAGAAAGAAGATAATTTATTAGGAATAACAGTAACTTAACACTATAATTTTTTATCTAAACAGATTGGGAATAATTTATTATGAGCGAGATTATTGACGCCCCCAAATTTAAAGAAATATGTGAAATATCGCACCTTACAGCGCTATTTTTCTCTGCCTCAGCGATGTTCATAGATGTCTTAAGAATAAAAAAAATTCGATTGTTAATATTAAAAAAACATTAAGAGTAAAAATCACAACTCGAATTTCTATTATTATATCGATCGAAATCTTAATAACAATTATAAAAATAAAAATATTTAATTAATATTTAGTTGAAAAATTTGTTTAAAATTCGATTTTAATCTGTAATTATTACAATCATCATTATGACAATAAATTTACAATTGTTAAATTTATAATAAACTATAATTATAACAAATCGCTGGCGGAATATACAGAATACCGCTGTTGTTCACGAAATACCATCGGTTACCGCGCGCTTTGTAAACAAGAATATCAGGAAAGAGACGCGGAAGAGACAAAGAAGACAGGCATAGCGGAAAGCCCGGCGAAGGCGGCGGGAAACGTGCTCCGAGGAGGAGCGAGCGAGTAGGAGCGAGTAGGTGAATCGCCGCGGCGTACCGCATGGCTCGACGGAGCCGTGTACGGCGTGGCGCGGCGTGGTGCGGCGTGGGGTTGCGCCGGTAAGTGTGCCAAGGTGCACTTCTCGAGAAAGCCGGACCGACCGGACCCGCTACCGAGCCGCGCCGTGTGCTCCGGCTATCGCCGGCCGCACGGATTTGGACCTATTCCGTCCGCGCTGCGCTGACACTAAGCGTGATTAGGGATGTCTACGATAACATCTGGAATGTTATCAACGTATTGGTATTCCGTTCACCGATACCAAAAGTTTTCATCATCGGTAAATATTAATTCTGGTCGGTAAATATTAATTCTAATCTTCATATACTCAATCATTGATTAATATATAATAAGCATCGATAATAGTGCCCCACGTATTTTTATAATATTTATTATTAATATTAACCTCTTGCCTTACAATAACAAGTGACACTCGTGTTACAGATTACATGTCAAAACTAAAAAAGTCGAGTGTCATTCAGTATGGATTATGGATTCAGTATGGAGAACAAAAGAAACACAAATCTGACTCGTGGTATGAATTAAACGCATTATTAGGGTATTGACATTTTTGTTTGTTCCGGTGCGTGAGCAACTTTGTGCCCAACTATGACACGCGCGATCACAAATTAAATCATAAGACAAGGGGTTAATTAAATGTATCTGTTTTGTTAATTGATTTATTCTCTTATTTGCAAATTTTAATTTTAAGTCTTAATTCCAAGTCTTAATTTTTATTCTCCGATAATATTCACTCGTTTATTTACGGAGGACTTTGAAAAATTGGATGAGACAATACGACAAGCATAACACGTATTTAAACACGAATATGTTTCCAAATTGCGATGCATGAATTATGATATAATGTCGGTGTGCGGTGCCTCGAAAGCGTTTTTAAGAATTTAGGCAGTAAAAGTGACCGGTCGGGAGATTGATTGAGACGATTGCGATAATAAAGATAATAATACAGGTTTACTAATGAAGGTAATAATAAAATTGATTGACGGTTAAATGTGCTAAGAAACTGCTGCAACACACGCACACGCGAATAAGGAATATGAAGATGCGAGATGGTGTTGAACGAAACGCGGCTATTAAATTTAGCGTGATGCAGGCTAGCAATAAGATTTAATACGATTTGGGGATGCACGCGCCTACCTGCAAGTGTAATTGTCTAATACACATATCCCGTCGTGTTTTTGATTGGTCAGAAGCGGTAATTAGGTAGGAGAAACTCGCGCTGTCTTAATGCTAAATTAATTAACGTGAGTCAGTATGAGTCTCTAAATTAATTGTCGTGTCATTACAGTATGTTCGCGAGATCGAAGATATCGCTGCACGGCCGCGGCTCCGGTGTCGAGCAATTTAACCCCACCCTGCAATATGCTCGTAAATCGTGTCCGTTAATTGCAGGAGCAAGTTACGTCCTGCACGGATATAAAAATGCCGATCGCGCGCCATGACTGCTGACGTAAATCTGAAATTCCCGCTTACAGACTCACCGTTTCCAGAGATATTGAAAGATATTAATAAACGCAACAATCAGGACAGGATTTATAGTTGTGACTAAACGCAGGAAAATAAAACGCAGAAAATTCATAGCAGAAAAGTTTTACTACTTATGTGAAAATGTACGGCATTTTTTCCTTCTACGAAATAAGACTCGCGATAATGGTATCGCCGGAAACAAATTCCCGTTGCATAATTGTGCGTACAGTCGAATTATGATCTAAAGGATGTCAAGATACGCTAACGGAAAACATATCAACCGCAGAATTGGAGACGAAATTCTGGTTGACGTTGATGTCTTCTGCATCGTTTATGAAATAGCTCATTTATAATATTTCTAACAAATCAAGATAAGAAAAAGGAAATTTATATAAATATATTTTACAAAATTGTGTGAAAGGCGTATCAATTTTCTTTTGTTGCTTATTATTTATATGACAAGCACGGAAAATAATAATAATGATCGATAATGGAACAATATTAATAATAGTCACAAACAAAAAGAATACGAACATATGTCCTCTAAATATAATATTTACAATAAAAAAGCAAATTTTATTCTTTTATGGAGCTCCCGCATCAAGATAATTATTGCCGTCTCTTGTGACTCTCGCTTTTATTCATCTTGTCAACTGTAAACGACCATAGCGACAACAAAGAACTTGACGATGATATTCCCAGAACCGAAATGGAACACGCATGTCGAGAGAAGAGCAAGACGAGAAGAAAAGTGAAGGAAGCTGTATTGACCACAAAATTGGAAACGAAACTTCCGCTGTGTACAAATACCACTCGATTCTTAAAGCACATCGAAGTTGATTTCTTTTTTCAGCTTCTATTTTTATTTCAAGCATCAACTATTTTCAAGAATAATTAAAAATTATTAGAACCAGAGTCAAATTTAATAATCATTTTAAAAATATTGAAAAATAATAACAGATTTCATCACTGGAAAAGTATTTGTTTCAAAATCTTAATTATCCTATTGTATTATACTTCACAGGAAGAGAGCCGTTCGCTATGCTTCTTACAATAAAATGCAGTCGCGCGAAATATGAGAAAAATAATGCAGAAATAAAAGTGCAGCGACTTCTGTTTGATTGAGCAGTTCTAAGCTCGATTCTGTCTAAATATATCGATTAAAAATTGCCTTACTCATCTTTTTTTCCGTCTTGACATTTGATAGGAGCCGTAACATTCTTTATGGTGGTCTAGGTTTGACCATTTGCTTTTTCTCACGTGTATTGATACCCCTAAATGTCCTACATGTAGGCGGATGCGCAGGCGATGCACGCATGTACACGCACACGCGCCGAATATAGACGCTGGTATTGAGGGCAACCGCCCTAATAATAGAAGCCGAGAAAATTTTTAGCCCTTGATGCCGGTCGGCGGCCACATCATCCCGTAGGGATCTGATTTGGGTCTACGGAACGTGCGGAGGTAAGTGATTACGTAGAACAAAAATTTGACCAAATGCAAACTTGAAAAATAAAAGAGATACCACGATATCGTACATATGAAATGTATACATATGCATACGAAAGTATTAATTTGCTGGAAATATATTGCAAAACTATAAATACTATATAATATATAACTGTAAATAATTATCAATTTTTATGGAATATCTTTATCACATCGTATGTGAACATTTGTCGCTATTTTCTGATTTTAGGAATATATTAAAGACTACTGAATAATAAGTAAATGTCAAATGTGTGGCTAACAAAATTAATGCTTAAATATTAATGATTTCATTTATAAGGATAATTGAGATATAATTAGTATAAATTTATGTTTTAAATTATATAGAATTATTTATTGGATTATCAAAGTCTTAATGAGTATAAATTTAACGACAAGTTAAAGGAAATTAAAAATATTTCATATTTCTGAATATTAATTCTTAAAAAGAGAAGTTCGTATGAATTATTATTGCTTATTATCATTTTATAATAAAAAGTTTAAAAACGATCATTATTCTTTTATGATAATAAGATACCTCTGTCATTATTATCGTCATACTTGTTATTTCGAATAACTCGGCCTGATGCAATTACTACCAGCGCCAGTCTTTTTTTATCACATTGACATGATATCCGTCGCGATAAGGTCGCTCGAAAAAAATTCAATAATCGGCGGGTCACTTGTGCAAACGTTCTCCTTGTTTATATTGTTCATACGTTTGCATGATTTAAGAATTAAGGTGTCCTAGGTATTACTTAGAATTTCCATTTTGTAATTTTTACTTAAACAGTTCGACTTCCTTATTTTTATCGGTTATTCTATCGGTTATTTATTCGAAACGATAAGATAAAAAATACTGTTCTAGTTGTGATAAAAAAAGTGGAAAAATATGAGAGATAATCACTGTCTCCATACATCGATAATAGGATCATGTTATTCTATTAAATATGTTTATTAATTTTTTATAAGACATTTAAATCTAAGACAACATAAATAGATATATCTTAAGGAAGAAGATTCACATGAAGAATTTCAAATTAATAGCGGAATACTTCACTATATTCATCATCATTAGCCCCAAGCTTTGTACTTTTGAACGGTGTAATAAATCCAGGAGGAGACATAATTCGCGCAAAGGCACTAATTGTAAGGCGATCGGACGGCCGTTTAATTGGGATACGAGCCTCGCGCGCTTGGGCCAAAAGACCTCGTCGTCTATTCATAGTCGTACTAGAACTAGATTCGAGGGTGCCGCTGACTTTGATCCGAAGCCTCGTTCCGGCTCATCTATACGCGGCTATCATTCCTTTTCGCTGCCGCTCTGTCAGCGAAGACATACCTCACCTGTACGCCAATTCGCCAAGCAATTACACGCCCATAGATCATTCACGTTCATATTTCTTACGCGCGTGTTTATAGAAAACTCGAGAGAATTCGAGATTACTATCGTTGAGCTCGTCGAATCAAACTTGTTAGAGTCATATATTTTTTCACAATATTAATTTACTTGGCAATTTCATTTCGTAGCATTATTATAATTTAGGAATATATACAAAAACTTTTTAACAAATTCACACTACTTACATAATTTTACTAAATCATTAGGTTTTTCCGCATATAATATATATATTATTGTTCTGCTCTTCCCTGAAGTTTTTTTTTTTTTATTTGTAACTCATTATTGCGCGCGGCAAGTATTCTCTCGCTTATAATCACTGGATGAATTACAAAAACGAAAGGATAAATGAATAACTGAATAGAACGATGTTTTATAGTCCGCTGACTATAAAAAAAACTTCAAACGATCCTTACATCGTTTCTGCGGCGAACGTCGATTACGGCGCGATACAATCTCTGCACGACAATGGTCGGTCGTGCAAGCCTGAATGACTAGTTTTTAAAGCAGGCCGAACGCACAACGCAAATCAACGCGCTAACCCTTTCATCAGCCCGATCGAGAGTGCGCGAGAGAGCAAATGAGCCAGCTATAATTCACTTTCTCGTCCTTGATCGTCCCAGGCATAAAAACGTCCCGCAAGTTCCGGTTGCCGGCGAACGCGGATTTCGTGAGTCAAGGGCCCACGATCACGGACAAATCGGATGAGTCGGCGATCAGATGGACAGCGCGGCTAAAGTGGGTCGTACTTTCAAGATTATTCGGCGATACAGCTAACGACAATGCTTCGTTAGTTGAAACTGCTTCGGAAACGTCATTGATAAACGGTCAGCTTTATAAAATGCGAATGTAAAAGCGGGATTGTTCATGGAACGACATAAAAGTTGTTCTCAAATAAGATACATATATAAGGTGACCTTTTGTAAAATTTTTAATAGATATCCTGACATCTCTCAGTCATCATTTTAATGACTGCTTTATTAATTAGCTTGAAGATTTTTTATCCTACTTAAAATATTAAGGCACCAATAATACCGAAATTTTTCATTATAATATAAAATTAAGATTCAATTAATTGAAAAAATTTGTGTTACTATCTTCGGCCATCTGAACTACGATCTTGAAAATTGGCGTTGCTACGAAATAATTCTGCCAAGTCTATAGATCTTTTAGATCTTTAGATCTTCCTATTATGAGTCATATATTATGCGGACTTTCACGGAATGTGTAAAATTAGCTTAAAAGGATATTTCCATTATTAATTATTCCACTTTTACTGAAAACAATCGAGCTACGAATCAAGTTATTACCATCGAAAGTATTTGCTTAATAATTTTTTAAGAAATGTCTTCAGAAGGAATGCTTCATGAATTATTAATAATTAATAAAAAGACGTAAGTAGACATGAATAGGCAATGGTATCATTTTTCATATTGTCATTAGTCTTTTCTCTCAAAAAGCGCAGAAAATGAGGAAACTCTAGTTCTAGTAATAACGTTTTCTAGTAATAACGTCTCATTAAAAAAAAAAAAAAACAGAAACCAATAATTGCGGAATATGATAAAGGAATCGACACTATTCCGCGTATTTATCGGCTTTCCGTAAACGAACGGAAGTTAGAGACACGTATGAAGCTTTCCAGCTATGAAATCAAGAAACATTTTCTATTCTGTTTCATCGAAGTTACATTAAGTCTTATTATAAATACTTTAACAGCTTCATCAATTTCAAAAATATAATTTTTTCAATTAATATTTTCTCAGATTATCCGAATACAATTGTGTTTAATAAAAAAATAATGAGACAAAGAAAAAAATAATAACAACTAAAACTCTTTATACATATAAAGCATCATAAACAATTGAATGTATATATTTTTCGTAGGAAGCATTTTTATACCTACGTCTGGGATTGAGGAAACGGTGCAGAGCTAGAAGCTCGAAAAGAACTCAGCATACGACGACAACAAACCCTGGACGAGCCGAAATTGTCGCTCGCGCGCTAAATTTACGCACGATCGCCTAGAGACATTTCGAGGGCCGATCGAGGGATGCCATTCAAGTATTTTCAATTAAGTCGCCGGCGAAT